AATCAAATTTTTTGACAGTGTTGGGAAAAAGTGTGTCTGTTTATTTTTGTCCCTACAATCATATTCATGTTGCTTACTTCTATCCTTGAGTAACTGTTTAGTTTGTCATAATACACACTTTCACATTCCCTGTAAGAAAATTTGTAGGCAACATTACTACATAGTTCAGTACTAGTCACTGCAAATTTGAGAATGCATGGTTTCTAAGATTGTTGTTACATTTAAATGCAAATTTAACATATAAATTGAGCGTTCTATTCCTAACCATATTTAACAATTTATTAAAAAATTTCCTTAACATAAGTAATTGTTATGTATAAATATTTATGAAAGGCATTGGTCGAGATAAAAAAGTCAGTGTCACGAGCGGGATTTGAACCCACGATCTTCGGCTAGATACGCCGCTGCTCTACCACTTGAGCTATCGTGAGGATATACTTCAGTTTAATTATTACATCCATTGCAGTTCGTGGTCCGATTGATCAACTAACATTTTTCAATTAATTAATATTTATGCAAGGTATTGGTCGAAGTCACGATAGCTCAAGTGGTAGAGCAGTGACGTATTTAGCCGAAGATCGTGGGTTCGAATCCCGCTCGTGACACTGACTTTTTTATCTCAACCAATAACTTTCACAAATTGAACACATTGAAAAATGTACGAACTGTAATGGGTTTTGTACAAAGTTAATGCATGGCTGCTACTACTACTACTACTACTACTATCAGGTTCATTAGAATTGTGGTTAATCGTTTAAATTTTATCATTTATTAATTTTGTGATTAAAAGTGGGGGATAATCATTGTTGATAGAATGTTGATCGCAGTATTTTTATATACAGGTGGGAAATGAGCACAACTCAGTTTGAATACTCTACCAGTTAGGTCCAAATTATTCGTGAGTAAAAAAAGTAGTCGATACACTAGCATTTAAACGGTATCTATAGACCCATGACATAACTAAAATTGTGCATCTCCACATAATCATTTGCTAACATCTTTTTTTTTAAATAATTTATTCTAGGCTAAAAGACTTTTTCCTAACTCAGGAAGTGTTTTTATTAAAGTTCCTAACATATTTTTACACGGTTCCTAACATTTATGTTTTCATTATTTACAATAGTAAAACAATAACTTCGAAATTGGATTATTTTTTAATAAAAGTAGAGATGGTTTTATGCGCGTATCTAGTTTCCTCTTCACTCCCTCTTTCTCCTTCACTNATATATATATTTTTTTTTTTGTACCCTCTGTTCAGCTCTTAACTACAAGAATAGTGCCAAATGTGGCGATGAGTGATAGAGTGATAACAATCTTGTAGATGTATTGTTTGATGTCATGTGTTCTGTTCCTTATTTTTGTTATCAGAGTTTTACTATAATAGATCTTCGTGCAAATGTTATTCTTAGGTAAAGGACATTTACCCAGAGTCGAATAGTATTCAAACAAGGGTAATAGTGGGAATGGATTTTTTTAATACGAGAATTTCGCAATCATGAACTTAGACGGGCTCTTGACAACTCAAACACTCTGCTTCGTATCCAACCTATCTGACGTCACAAGAAGTAGATACATTCGCCTCCATAAAACCCTAGAACCTCATCCCAAACCTCTAGCACTTCACCTTTCATCCCGAACACGTTCCGACAATCCTCTAAGCGCCGATTGTCTCGCAATTTACTCCCTAGTGAGGAAAGTGAATAATGTTATGACTGGAGTAGAATAAATGGATTACGAATATAAACTTAATATTTTATAATATAAAATTCATAAAGAAAGCAAAGTGGTTTGTAACAATATGCACTGTTGTATCATCATAATATCAAAAAATGTAAATGCTTCAAGGCTGTCATTAAACTGAAAATTTATAACTGAATGATCCGCGCGACCAAACTCCCATTCAGACAGACAGAACCATATCTCTCTTCTTCCGCCATTGAAGTTATTGATAATACAATATTTAAAACGAGGCCGAAGCCTTAAAACGTCTAAATATCCCTCGTCTCTAATAAGAATAAAATATTGTACACCGCGATTTGAATAATAATTGCTCGTTCTGAATGATTGTTTAAAAGATTCTAATTAAAAAAATAGTTTTTTTATATTAAATTCTCGACATTTTGTATCAGGTGATATTTGTTGATCATACAAAATCAACATTAATACTGATGGTAAGAATATACATTTTTTTTGCTGTGTTGGCTATTATTTTTCTCTTACAGGAAACTATTTTTTTTAAAGCTTGTTCGACCGAGTATGACCAATTTAATGTTTCAATCATTATCGATCATAGAATTCGAAACCTACATTCTTAAGGTTTTCCTCACAAATGTTTTTTTTCTCAAAAACACTGGCATCCCGGTGGTTGATTTAACCTCTACTATTGGGAAAAAAAAAAAAAAAATTGAAGTCAAAAGTGAAATTTAATCAACCAGAAAGTTGGCAACTGTAGTGGTTAAAAGCCTAGAAACTTAAAATTCAGCGTAAATGATTTATTTTTCTGGTCATTCATTCACTCGTTAAAACTATTGCAATTTTAAAAATATTTGTACAAAAAGTTGCACATACACAAGAAACACTTTTATTAGACTTCACGTAAAGATTCTTGAGATCAAAGAAAACCCTTTCCTATAAATCCTGTGTTTTCTGAGCATCAAAAAACCTATTCTATACGTATTTGAATAAAAATATTCCATTAGTGGATAGAAGTGTAATTTTTTCTTTCCAAGAGGTATACGCATCGATTTGGTGTATCGGAAATTACACTTGGCCTCGGACTAACCTCACCCACCATTTTTCCCATTTATACGTATTATGATCAAGTCCGACCAGTGGAAAATTATTAAAATGGAAATATATTTAGGTCGACGGAAAATGTCATAAAGATCAAAACGTTCGACCGAATCAGATAATATCAGTTCAAAGCCCGTCAGAGCATCAGGTCACGTTTTCACATTTTTGGCGCACGACCATGGCAACTATTGCAGTCAATTCCATTCGAAGGCCCAAGTTGATAACAACACAACATTTTATCACGTGATCCAAATTTTGTTTTATTAAAATAAAAAGTTAAAAAGACAGGTTCGTTTTTTAATTTGTACAATTTAACAACCAGATTTCTTAGAATCAAGTAAAATGTTAATTGTTTCATCCGCAAAGAAACCTTACATGATCTAAAATAGTTTGTTTTATTATGTTATGTTCGTATTCTAAACAAGTAATTTTGTAAAGTTAAACATGATCATAATAAAATGGCAAAAAGGAGGAAAATTCGAAAGGTAGGTTGAGATGGGAAGTTGGTGTCCGAGTGGATCGAAGTCACGATAGCTCAAGTGGTTAGGGCAGCGGCGTACATAGCCGAAGGTCGTGGGTTCGAATCCCGCTCGTGACTCTGACTTTTTTATCTCAACAACTAACTTACATAAAAATTAATTAATTGAAAGAAGTTATTTGGTCAATCGGACCACGAAATGTAATGGATTTAATGATCATAATGTTAGGGTTAAAAATACTTTTAGAAATACCACATTAAACTCTTTACATTCATGTATCAATAATTTTATATCATCTACAATTAAAAATATATTGCTTTTCTAACCAGAAATAATGTATATTTATAGTAAATTTACGAGTGCAATTTCCAGTCAGAAATCCTGCTGCCTTTTTAAGCCAAAAATAACTTCGTTAGAGCCCGTCATTCGGCTTACAATCGGATATAATCCAAGTTTTTAGGCAGTTTAAGCCGACCTGATCCCTTTTAACACAATATTTGCAGACGAAAATCGCGTATTAAAACTGTTGAAAAATGATAATACAAAAGAAGTAATACGTTAAAAGTTCCAATTTTCTGTACAGCATTGATCCCGTGCGTGTGTGTGTATAGATATTGAATTTCTCTGTGAGAAAGAGATAGAGATAGATGGATAGGTTTAATGTATACAGTATACCCCTCAGATTTTCTTAAAGTTAAGCTTTTATGAAATCTGGATTGGAATATATAAGAATAAATATGAGTTTAGAAAGAACATGTTAGGGAGAGAGAATGAAAGAGTGAGAGAGAGAGAGAGAGAGAGAGAGAGAGAAATAAGTGAGCGAAGGAGGGAGAGGGTGAGAGAATGAAGAGAAAAGGAACGAGAAAAAGTCTAAATGGGTTGTTCGTTAAAAGAAATAGAGATATCTAGTTAGATAGATACATAGAGGGAGAGAGAGAGAGAGAGAGGGAGAGAGAGAGAGGGTGAGAGAGAGAGAGATAGATAGATAGATAGATAGATAGATAGAGACAGAGAGGGAGGGAGAGAGAGAGAGGGTGAGAGAAGATTGAGAAAGAAAAATATTTTTAAGAAAGATTGATAGATTGAGATAGATAAATAGTGACAGATAGATAGATAAATGGATAGATAAAGCAAATAGATAGAGATAAATAGGTGTATATATATATATAGATAGATAGAGAGAGAGAGAGGCAAAAAGAAAGAGAGAGAGATAGAGAAAATTACTATTTTAGTATTTCATCTCTCATAATGAAACAACGCTTTCCAGATCAATTTCAAAAATCATATGTGTTCTGAAAATATTAATATTTGGCTTATATTAATTATTAATTATATTTTTGTTATATTTGAGAAGAAATTCGAGGCCCTCCCAATCGCGGTTACTGTTTTTACTGGATACCTAAGTAAAGGATGTCAAGACACATTTTGTTTTGGTATTCTATTTTTGAAGGAAATAAGAAGAACAAAACTATTTTCTGTATTGGGAAATGCGTATACAAAGCATGACGCTTTGTTATAAGGCAAAGGAATTCCTTTGCCTAGAGATTTTTCCCTATCAAAGATTGAGTTGATAAGCTTACCTTTGATACATGTAGGTTATAAGGTTTTTCCTTCTAAGGTATAGGAAGACGGAAAGAATTTCTTATGACGAAAGAATTTTATTTAGCCAGAAAAATAAGCGAAAGAGTAAAATTAATCACAACGATCGTGTTAAAAAAAAGTTGTCGGGAAGGTTTAAAAAACACTATTATTATTTTACAAATTCATATTTTTCGTTAGTCTTTCTTTTCCGAACTTTTTGAAAGCCACTTTTCCAGTTCTGCTAATTCCCTTGGCGTCCCGTTTACATCTTCCGCATCGCCTGTCTTTTCACAATCGTCCATTCCGCTTTTTCGCATCTTCTCAACTTCAGTGTAGAACATTTGCTTGTTCATGCCGTACATGATCCCAGCGAAAAGAAGGCTCCAACGGGTCAGCCTTATAAACGGAGATACGTTGATCGGCGGTTTGTAGTCACGAGGCATTTCCAGAGTAAAGGCAGAAGCGACACCCGATTAAAAACTAACACGGATTTGTTGTAAAAGCCAAACAGCTGACTGTAGTAAATAATGGTTTGTAAGACAACTGGCGCGATCTGTACTGGTTCCATTTCAAATTTCAACTGCCAAAACCATGCAAAAGTTTGAAGTACTACTTACTTTCTGTTACCCGAGGTTTCACGCGCTTTTATAAATTAGGGCTGTTTTCTCGTTCTTCGGAAGTCAATGTACGTTAGCCCTTACATCATCTCTTATTAGAAATGGTGAATGATGGAGTGAGTGCGGTGTTCAATCCTTTTTTAAAAAAGATTGTTCTTACTCACATTAAGTTGTTTTCCAACGATCCTGATTCGAGCTCTTAGCTCATCATCAGGTTGAAGGGTTTCTACAGCCACATCTTTCGACATGAATTGCAAAAGTGAACCCGCCGATACCCCCGCCAACGCGACGTTCCAATCGGAAGCTGGTTTTTTAATGGCGCTCAATTTGAACGTGCGAAAAGCGGGAATTATAACACAAGTAAATATTATAATGGTAAATACTGTAAGAAATTAATTATAAATTAGTGATTACAAAACAACTTTTCGATTTTACGACATACGAATACGGTGAGCATGAATTTCAACATTATGTCCCGATGAAAATGGAAAATCAACCCTTAAAGTCAGACCGGCTGACAAGAATAGCTTCTTGGAACTCTAGCAACTCCAAACCTTCGAGCATTGTTCAAATTTTATTTGTATCTTCTCCTTGACCCTGTCCTCGATGAACTACCAAAATTAGACCCTCGCTGCAACAAGTTCCCATCATCCTCTGCAGGTCCAGAATGAGGTCAGCTACCTATCGGGACTTTGATAAACTGATTGCCTAACAATGGGACGATTCCCCAATACATCGTAGCGAAAGCTCTACCTTGACGTACTACCCTTGCGGGGAAAAGGGCACTGGGACAGGAGAAAGAAAATTATAGCGAAATCCTTTAATTCAACCATTCCACCATTTCGAAAATTGGTGGCTTATGTGTAGTCATCTCCGAAGAAGACCTCAAAAACAATGAGCAGTTCCATATTAATTTCCATTCTTGTGCTGAGAGAGGCAGAGAAAGATGAATAAATAGATAGATAGATGTAGATTCATAGAGAGTAAATAGATAGATAGAGAGGGAGAGAGAGAGAGAGTGAGTGAGAGAAAGAGAGTGTGTGAAAGTTAGTCTGAGACAGACAGAATAGAAAAAGAAGAGAGAGCCACAAGTTCGTGCGCGCACGAGATAAAAATAGTAGAGGTAGATGGATAGTTAATAGATAAATAGTGAGATAATTAGAGCCTTAGAGAGAGAAAGAGAGAGAGAGAGTGAGTGAGAGAAGGGAGTGAGAGAGAGAGAGAGAGAGAGAGAGAATTATGCACGTGAGTGGGTACGTTTGATACCGAATTGATTGTATATTCTGCCAAATTACCGAAGATTCCTTTCATTTATGAAAGCCCCTGTACATTAATGTTCGGCTGTTCTGATCCGAAATCACAATTAATAAATTCTTCCTGTGGCCCACAAGGTCGAGTTTGAATTTTTTAACTTTGACTTGATTGGACCAACAGCTCTCGAATTACATTTTTTAAATTAGGTAATTAGGTAAATAAAATTTTTTAACTGATCGAATCGTTCATATTGGTTAAACGTCCTTTATATTTTATTTTATAACTAGCAGGTGAGTCAAAGTAAATTTAAGCATGTATTTTCAAATATTTAACATAAAATAATATAATGGTTTTTTTTTCAAACGTACAAAATCAGAAAAACAATAACTAGAAAGGAAGTATTTAAAAGTTTTAAAATAAAGTGAAGATATTAATAATTGAGAAATAAGACAAGAATCACTGCTGTATAACAAGTCAGAGCTCTGTTAAAGACGGATAAATTAAACAAAAAATAGTGGGCGGGATTTTAATAATAACGAAGGCGAAGAAAACAAACATTAAAAACCAGATTTAGGAAAATTTGTAACCCCGGGGAATATTTCGAGTTAAAGTATATTTTTACTCCTTGTACTCTTTTCGAGCTCGCTTTTGTAATATCCGACTAATTGGGTCGCATGTGTGCCGGGATCGTAAAGCTTATTCGGTTTCAGCTTTTGCTTGTCGTGGGGTATTTTCCTCTCTCCCCCTCAAACAATTTTTATACTTGTGAGATTCATGCTCCTTACTAGCTAAAAAAATATATATTAAATCGTCAGGGGATTTCTCCCGAAATACAATTCTTTTCATTCCTTTTTAATGAAACGCCCAGAGCAAAATAGTAACCATCTAAATACGAGGTCTTATTGTTTCTGAATAAATTATAACATAAACATCATAACAAGTGGCTTAAAATTTTAACTAATTAAAAAAATGATTATTCAAAAATTCTGCCATTAAAAACAAATATGTGTTATTCCTACTGCGACTATTGTTCTTCTTTTAACAGTGAAAGTAATAATACCCCCGCAATATCCTCCCCACCCTTGCGCGCGGTCGTGTGTTCAAAATGATTATTTAACACAAAAAGAAGCCTACAAAAACTTCAGTTTTGTTGTCCTTACTTTTTCTTTTAATGGATGGTTTGATTTCTCTATTATAGGCGTTATTATGTGAAGGGGTTTTTATAAAAAGTCACGCGATCCAGTACCATTTTTACGCTGAATTTATTTAAAAACACATTCTCATAATAATGTCTACAAAAAAAATCAAGGGGGGTTAATGTGTTGGCAGTGCTTATCATTGCAAGCCCACATACTTAGAAATGCTCTCTTTTCAAAACCAATGGCACCCCGGGGGTTGATATGACTTCTGCTGTTGCAAACTCTCGTTTAAAAAAGAAAAAAATAACTTATGTGAATGGAAGGTTTTCAATGATGTAAAGTAGGTATGTTATTTGTGTATTTATGAGTTTAATGTTTGTCCATTTCCAAGGATTCTAGTAGCTTGATTTGCCGTCTTTGTTCCTAAGAGATTTTATATGTTCTTGATATTTGTCTTTTATTTTTCGTCCTGCCTGTCCGATATACTTGTCTCATCATTTACATTTTATGTCGTTAATGTCCCTTTTTTAAGTATGCTGGTTTTGTGAATGTATTTTTTGCCCGGAGGGACGTTTTTCAAATAAAAGGTAGATCTCCAATCACATTTCGAAGGGAACCTAATATTGACTGGGTTGATAAAGAAAATCGAATATTATGCAATATGTATGGTGTTTATTGAGCGTTAGTCAATGATTATTTTGAGTTCGTGAGGTGCGACATAGGTTTTAGAAAAACATTTTCTTTATCGTGCCAACGTTTCGATTTTTATTGAGATCATCTTCAGGGCTCAAAGTGTTTGTTTTCAGTGAAAATGTGTCATCCTTGTGTGTCGTGTTGAGAATGCCCACACTCACGAAGGCACTCTCAACAAGACCCACAAGAAGACACATCTACACTGAATACAAACACTTTGAGCCATGAAGATGATCTCAATAAAGATCGAAACGTTGGTATGACAAAGAAAATGTTTTTCTAAAACCTACGACACACCAGACGGCATTTCACGAGCTTCAACTAATTGTACAATTGTTCAGAAATCGTGAGATGCGGTCTGGTGTGATGTAGGTTTCAGAAAAAACATTTTCTTTATCGTGCCATCGTTTCGATCTTTATTGAGATCATCTTCAGGGCTTGGGATGTACAAACATTGTTTAAATTTAACAAATACATGTAGGATGTGGGAAAAAAAGTGAATTTATACAATGCAAAAAAATATTTTTTTTATTCAATCAAAGTATTTCTACTCACTCAAAGTGTTTGTCTTCTGTGTAATTGTGCCATTCTTGCGTGTCGGACTCGAAGTTACGATAGCTCAAGTGGTAGAGCACGGCGTATCAAGCCGAAGATCGTGGGTTCGAATCCCGCTCGTGACACTGACTTTTTTATCTCAACTAAAAACCTTAAATAATTGAAAGATATTAAATGGTCAAGCGGACCACGAAAACTAGTAAATTTATTATGTAATAAGGTTTTTACCCCACTAATCAATCATTAATTTAGTGGTTTGTTGTCTGATAGGATATCGATAATTGTGGGTAATGGTTCTGTTAATTAATAACTGCTACTCTTCAAGTTCATTCCATTCGGTTCAGACGACTATATTTTTCTTAGAATTTATGGCATTATTTTCCTACTTATACATTTTCCGCAGAGTGAAATTGGTAAAATTTCATACCTGTCAATGTGAGCTTTATATATCATAAATCATTTGGGTTTATCAAATATATACTCCGATTTATTCGATCTGGTGCCTTATTGTCTTTTGATTAATCTGTAACAATAATGTACAGATATCATTGACATTTCGATAGGATTGTTGTCGAATAAATGAAATTACGTCTAGCTTCCAAAAATTATAAAATTTTCTTCGGGTGTTCTTTTAATTTGATCAATAACGAAAATAATAACGATAATAAAACGGCATGAACTGGGATTACTGGCTAAGTGAGTAAATACTGTAAAAAAGGCTATTAAATCAAACTTAAGAACATCCAGTCATGGGCTAAACTAGCTTCTTTTTACACGGATCGATGCTTGTTAAGCCTCCTAGCTTTCTCTATTTTCTTTAAAGATAACGAGGATTTCTCAAGTGAAGGAATCTGACGGTCGTCACATTAAGCTTCTTACTTTTGCAGATGGTATTGTTCCCCTAGTCGACGACCGAAAAGCCTAGCACAAAAAAGTGTTCGAATTGTTTTATAATTTTTGAAAGCTATTTTGAAGTTATCGGACGAGAGAAATGTGTTTAATTTATGTGATAGGCCTTGAATAAATGGCATGGAAATGTATGCTGGTTTGTTTGTATTTGATACACTTAATGTAGTCTAATTAGTAATAGTGGATGGTGTTAGTGTTGAGTTGTATTTGTTGATTATTCTGTTAATAATGTGTTTAGGGTAGAGATTGTTATGGAGGATCTGTTTGTATATCTTTTGTTCTTGTGGTGAAATGATTCATGGCATAGGGTAATCATTCTGTGAAGTAACCCTTTGGCCGTGTTTATTATTGTATGAAGAGGACGGTGAGATGT